TAAAGTATCTCAGCTAATTCGAGTTATCGGACTGCATTTAATGTCAAATTCAAGTGTTGGCATATAATTTTATTAATATTTAATTTTAAATATATATTTTGAGTTTTGTTAATTGCATTTACTTTTTAACGATATACAAAAGATAAACTTCCACGAAACTACCGATTTTCCTAAAATCTAATAACAGCTATTAAATTAACTGTTAATTAAAAAATTATACTTATGTAAAGCTAATTTGTTTAACCATTCTTTCGCTTTTTTTATGTTCGCTTTTTTTTATTCGCTTTTTTTAATAACCAGCATTGAACAGCCGATCCAATTCTGAGTTTACGGTTCAACTCCACAGCCGATCCAATTCTGAGTTTACGGTTCAACTCCGTATCCTTGTAATTTTGAACCCAACCTAGAAGACAGGGGATATCCTCTCTCAAGCATTGGGGCAGTTAGCTTTCGTGGAGGACTTTTTGATGTAACTAATCTCCATTAGCGTTATTTGGAGATGCAAACCATGAAAATCTCCCGAGGTTAATCCAATGATAAGGGGATTCTAACTCATGATCTGTCTTCTACTGAGGATATTTTCCGTCATCTTTCACTGCTTGAAAATATTTTACATATTTTAAAAAATTTCAAAATTGATAGTTAGCTTTTTGAAAGTTATGCAGCTTCATAAACTATTAAACTTTACTGCATCACAAAATGGAAAGAAAAAAAACCCGCTGTTTATTGCTTCACATTTTTAATATTTATTTAGTTAAAATAAAATTCTAAATCTCTCTACATCTAGTAACAGGATACTCGCGTTTAGAGTATGCAAAAAGAATGCTACTATTTCAATGTTATATTATAACAAGTTTAATTAGACTGTTTACAACAAATCATAAAGTTCCAGGTAAATTAACCAAGTTTTTCTTACAAATGTTCAATATGTGCCCCATAAGTTATAAAATGAACATCCATATCATCTCGTTGCTTAGGTTAATAGTTCTGGAGTGTCCGTACTTTGTTTAACAAGTGTAAGAAGAGAGGGACTTTGATTTTTATGTGTCGTATTGTTTCTTACAAATGTTCAATATGTGCACCACAAGTTGTGAGATGCACATCCAATAGTCAATGTTTTCCTACACTTAATTTAATACTTCCAGAGTATCCGGACTTTGGTTTGCAAATGTAGAAAGAATTGCACTTTAGGTTTTTTTTTATGCATTATAGTTTTTCTTTTAATTGTGCAAGTGGGGTACATATTGAATTTTTATATATTAAAAGAGATACCTTGTATAATTTGCTTTCAATTTAATGGATGGTTTATTGCAAACAGTCTAAATTAAACTGTTACTGAAATTGAGACATTCTTTTATGAACACTCAATATTAGAAATGGCTGAAATGGATCTATAAAATATTTTCAGCTGTAATACATCCGTTATTGTCTCTTTCAATTACTAAACTGCTTTAAGTTGCAATGGTTATTAAAAACTGTGCTAGTTAGAAATGTTCAACCGTTGATAAGAAAATGTGAAACAAAAACGCTTTTCAACTTTCGATTAATATTATTTAGTAGCAGACATTTGAAAGCAGCATCCTATTTTTGTAATAGACACGATTCCGTAACGGTTCCAAAATACCTGTTACTGTGAAACACAACAATCTCTAGATTACATCAGCCTAGCTAACACGAATGACAAGAAAACGACACAAAAAATTATCCGTTTGGCGCGAAACGCAGTCGTCATGTATGAACCAAAATCTCACGCATAGGAAGTACGAATCTCACCGCAACAAAAGAAACGCTGAAAGATCCCTGGTGGATTAGCGGTCGCAGTCAACAGCAATTTTCATGGTCTTAACTGGATTTCCAATGAGATACGGAGATTTAGAGAATTCATCTGTCAATCTGACTTAAGACTGGAGGGGAAGTTTGGTACTTGCGTGCAGCCAGCCAGGGATCCAAAATGGCAAGTCTTTAATAACGACATTACCCAAAAAATGAATTATTTGTGTTGTACCAGTTTCAGTTAGCGCCTTCTGTCACTGCTTCAAACCAAAGACGCGAACTCAGCACGGCGTTTGAAAGCGCATTGTACAGGAACAGGACCATTAGTCAGAAATGCTGAACCCAGATTAGCGTGTCAGTGCAATGAATAATGATTTTTAAGTTATTTTATTTAAAATAGGGGTTTTTACATTGTTAAACTGGGACTATTTTTCTCACTGTGGAATTTTATTTTATTCTTCTTTTTGGTTAGGAAATTTTTTTTATCTCGTAATTCAATCACAAAGGCCTTAAGTCTATATTGTCTTAATTTTAATGTCAGTCCAAGATCTTTTCATTGCAAAGTACTTATTACTAAACTTTATTTATAATTAAATTTCACGTTATTTTTTATTTAAGGTTCCACAAATTTTTGTTCAATTAGATGTACGTAGTTTACGAATGTAGATTACCACAGTGTATTATTTTGAGGTAAATTTTTTTAAAAAATTACTAATTTTCGATTAATAATCGTAAACTTTTAAATAGTTTCTAAACAGATTATGCACCAATGGAGAGCTGAACAGTTAGTGGAAGAATGGGTTAAATAGGTGGGATGCATTTAAAATCTTTAAATTTCCTAGGTTAAAAGCATATTATACTTTACTGCAGGCATAGGTAGTTTACTAAATTTGTGAATTCTTTAAATAGGTTAATTTTTGATGATAAAAATATAATTATAAAAAGTCGCTTTTTTAAATAGCTTCTTAATGTAACCATTGCATTTTATTGTCCGAATTTATCAAAATCTAACACGCTATGCCACTAAACTCTAAAATCTTTATTCCAAATGTAACTTATATAGAAAATAATCTTAAAATATATTCGTATGCAGAAAATATAATGCTTGATTTTGTTGCCATTTCTTTAGTATAGTATTTAGATAGACATTTTACAAGTTTTCGAAATTCCCACTAGATTACAGCACAGTAGACATGATTATTTTGTTACCTCTAAAGAATTCTTGATATTTTTACAAAAAACGCTCTCCTTAATAATTTAATAATGTGGCTCATGATTATATTGCCCCAAATAATTTATGCATAAACAATCAGACTTTGTCAATTAGTGGAGATATTGATACTGACATTAGGTAATTAGGAATTTAAAGACAAAAATTCTTCCTGCAACGCATACTTTAGCATAATTATAATGTCTTGCTTTCTCATGGCTTATCTGCTCAAAGTGTTGAAAAATTTACAATGCTTCTTATGGTTTTCAATTAGCTTCTTCAAATGATATGACATTCCACATCACTTCCTGGGAAACCTTTTCCTGGCGTTTTACCAGCACAACTTCCCCCACTCGAAAAGTGTCGAATTTTGCGAGGGATGGAGTACCCCCTGTAAAGCCATATCCTCTTGTAGGGGTGCTTGACGACCCCTTGAGGAACCATATGTTAAAAAGATCGAATTTCAAGAGCACACCGCCCGACCCGAGTTGAGAAACTCAACACCCCACTTAATGATTAGAGTTAGCTTTGCTAGGTGGGTGATGGGGAGTTCAAATTGTCAAAACAGACCCCTATAGAATTTCGAATCTTCTGATGGCCACAATGATATACTCTCCATTCACTCAAGCAAAATTGCCCTCTTCAGTTCCGGTGTCGACTTCAAATTTTTTTTTGTTTGTTCATATCTTGGATATCTATGATATGTCTAGTTAAAGATTATGTCAACAAGATAAAGTTTTTGTCCATGATATGTCACATAACTATTAAGTCTGCATTTTAAAGTTTTAAGTTGTGTAAAGAACAATCTGAAAATATGCGCTGAAGTTCGTATATTATTTGTATGATAGAGTCCTTTAATACAACACAGTGTTAACTTCAATTCGGAAGATATTTAATGTATTGACGATTTTGTACTATAAGTACTATAGTTCAGCCTGAACAGTAATTAGAGTAATACAATCTTTTAATTTTAAAAACTAAATTCAAACTTAAAACCATTGCTTTCGATTGTATTTGTGCCTGTATTATTGGTCTAAGTTTACGTCAATGCTTATAATATCTGAGTGGTAGACGACATGCAATCCGGCTGACCCTGGGAAGGTTCGTTAGTCTCATCTAGAAAATTTCAGACATTTGACTAGCAAATGTCTTCAAAATTGGAATCAAAGTTACATGGACACGAAGTTGTTTTCCCTGCAGATTGATTAAAAACAGCTACATTGATTTGAACTAAATTTATTTAAAATAAGAAACAAATGGGAGTTGTGTTAATTAGTTATAGTTATAAACTCTAACATCTCGATGCACGAATCTATTAAAAACGTTAAAGCACATTGAATACTAATGTTATGCAAATTTACTCCACCTTTTATCAGATACAAGCTCAAGCATATTACCATGCGATTCCTTTTTAAATTCACGATACTAGTTAAGCTTAAACCAAATATTATAGTTCAACTTATTGCATCATTATCATTCCTCTTTAAACTCATGATACTATTGTGGAGTTCAAACCAAAATATGGTTCAACTTATCGTATTCTCTTTAAACTCATGATGCTACTGTGGAGCTCAAACCAAAATATGGTTCAACTTATCGCATCCCCTTTAAACTGTTGATACTATTGTGGAGCTCAAACCAAAATATGGTTCAACTTATCGTATCCTCTTTAAATTCTTGGTACTATTGGGGAGCTTAAGCCAAAATATGGTTCAACTTATCGTATTCTCTTTAAACTTATGATACTACGGTGGAGCTTAAGCCAAAATATGGTTCAACTTATCGTAAAAATATTGCAAAAAAATTTGCATGGTAGTATTTTTCAATGTATAGATTTTAATAACGAATAATTTTTTTTATTTTATTTATTTAATTATTTTAATCCTTTGATGAATGTTATTTGAATGTTTGAAACGTTCTTTTTGTAAGTTTAAAATTTCTAATCATTGAAGAGATAAATATGTTATAAATATTGGAAATTTCTTTTTTCTCATGTATATATACTTTTTCTTTTCAGGATTAAGTGCGCTGGATCAGGATGTATGATTTTCCGGAAATACAATTTAGATTTTCAACTACCACCGTAAAACACGAAATCGACAGTCCAACCGATTATTCGGTAAGTTATTTCGATTTCTACTTAAAATATAGTGATGGGAAATAAATAAGGGAAAAAAAAATACCTTAAGTTTACAGTAAATAAATAATAATAATATGATATAATTTGAGAACTTTCAAATACCTTAACCATAGAACCAGCTTTTAATTGAGGTTTTAAAAAATAAACATATCACGTAACAAATCGTTTAAATAATCAATTGACTATCTTGACATTTCTTGTTCGCCAATTAAGTGTGTATAAGTAGACCAGTTGTCGAACGTTTCGATGAAATTGAATGTTTATTATTTTTACTCGAGCTAATTTTCTGTCAAGAAATACTATTACTTACCATTACGATTAAAATGCCGATTTTTGTTTTTGCTTTTTTAAGAAACCAATTTGCATAAGAGGTTACGTAAATAAAAACCGTAGGAAAAAAAATCATAATTGAGAGTAAATAGGAAGTAATAGAACATTTTTTTTTTAATTGTTTGATAAGTAAATAAGCTTGTTTACTTAACTTAAATATTTATATAATTTCTTTTTTAGCTATAGGATTAAATTGATTTCTGCAATTGCCATCTGGTTTTTAAGTACAAAAATCTAGATGTCTTGATTGATATGTTTTTAATTTGTTATCGGTATTAGTATTATTATTTTATATTTCATAACAAACTTATCTAATCAATGGAGTTCATGTTAGATTTAATGTTATATTCATTTACGTATTAGGCATTTTCACCAACTAAAATAATTTTTTCATTGGCTACTTTTTTTCTCACTGGTAGGAAAACTAATTGCATAATAATAAATGTTATGATAAATAAGTCATTCAGACGGTGTCATAAGACGGTGTTTAGTATGTAATAAAAATAATAAATGACAATTGATATCAGAGAGACTATTTTTTAGCACCTTTCTATTTTTTAATTTCTCTTACATTTTACGCAGAAGTTTTAAAAATTTAACTAATTGGAAATTTTTAAAGCTTTAAAGGCTGTGCCACTTAGTAAAAATGCATTGTTACTGGGTTTTTTCGTTTGAAATATTAGCGTTAACATTTTATAAATATTTGTTGTAACGTTTTGAGTTGTTACTTCAGTTATGGAATGTGTTACAATATCAGACATTGTATTTTTTTGATTTAGAAATATAGTAATCAAAGTGCTATTAGATATAATTTAATATTTGAATCTATTATTATTTTTTTTATAATTTTTTAACTGTTAATATTAGAAATTGAAAATCGTTTGCCGAATTGGCGGTAGAATATTTTGTTTTAAAATTGCTAAGTTTTCAAAAAAATCAGTTTCTGATTTTTACTTTTACGCAATTAGGCGCTTCTGACCTTTTAAAAATATTTTCTTTAAAGTATAATAGGTATTTAAATGGATGAGAAATATATAACACACTTTACATGTGAATTGAATTGATAACATTCTACGCGCGCATTCCAAGAATAGGTGTGTACGATTTTCAGAAATTTTAAGCGCAAATTACAGCAGTTGACCTAATTTAATTTAAAAAAGGAAAAAAAAAAATTTAAAATTACATTTCTGCGCAGATTGAGTGAAAAATTTGTCTTTAATTTGCTTTTCATGGTAAAATTTATTGATTACCTTCAATTTTATAGATTTTATAAATAATCAATTAATTTCGAATCAGTTGCCTGCAGTTTTTTACAAATACTTTTTTGTTAAAAATAACTCGCACCTTTCAGTTTTACTGCAATAGATTATATAGAAAATGTGAAAATTATTTAAAAAACAATTAATCTACAATTGAACAAGTACATTTATTAAAAGTGTGGAATTTATTTTTAATACAATTACCTATAGTTATACAAAAATATCTTATTAAATAAGTGAAAATCACTTTCATATCTACTTGTATTTTTACAAGATTTTATTGAAAAAGTTATATTTATTTTCAAATGAATTATTTTCAATTACACAAGCAGATTTTTTTGAAAATGGCAAAATTATAAATAATCTTCTGCTTTACAAAAATGTAAAAATATAAATAAATACTTTTAAATCAATGACTTAAAAGTTTTAGAAGTAATTGAATTATTTGGTTCATTGGTGACCAAAGCAAAGTCAAATTTCGGGCAACATCAAACTTGTCAACTTTTAGGTACTTTGGGAAGCAAATCCCACAAAACGTCCTGTTAGCTGCTTATAAAAATTTTTCTTCCCTCCTTGCTTTCATGTTGCATAGTCCATTCTTCGCCTGTACCACTAGGCCGCCGCGGTACATTGGTACACAAAAGATGAGGACACAGTGAAATCGGCTCAAGCACAGAATTTTTGACACCTTTTGTTATTACCTAGTCTGCACCAGCTATAGTATATAGCCTCAATAGAAACCAAACATATGTTCTAACAACAAGCCCCAGTTAGTTCAACAGTTAAGGATTTGCTATCCCCTCTATTTCTCAAAAGGGCCCGCTGCCCCTCAGCGGGGGCGCTGCGGACTTTTTTTTTTCAATGAAGTTTTTTTTTTAATGCCAACGCCTGATTTGTTGGGTTTGTGCATGGGGTGTTGAGACCGTTTTGTTACACCTTTTTGTGTATTTTGATGATTCTGGAAAAAGATGGTATTTTGATGTGGGATGTTTTGAAAGCTTAGTAAAGGATGTGAATCTGGTTGTTTATGGATCATTAAATTCTAAGTTGCAGGCATTTGGTTCGTTATATGTTCGTAAAGTTGTTTCCATAAACTTTATCAAACGATCTTTTTTTAATTTTAATATACGATTTATTTATCACATAAAATTTCCATAATGATTTAATAAAAAATATAAGTGTAAATTTGTATGCCATGAAACTGAATAAATAATTTTGATAGTTAACCTTAATAGTTAATTTTAATTCCTAATATTCATTTCAAACAATTATAAAAGATCTACTATAATAGCAATTTATTATAATCATTATTATTATACATTAGAAAGCTTTTTAATTTTAAAGCTGATAATTTCTGGTAAAAATTTAAATAAAATTATTTTATTATGTGTTTAACTTAACTTTAAATTGGTTCATAACTTGATTAAATTTAAATTTGTTAAAAGGAGAATAAATGTATTAGAGCTATATTTACCTTCGAATGATTATTACAAAAGCATTGTTTGTTAATAAAACAACTGGCTATAGATGTTAAGAAGACTTCTGAAACCAACTAATTTATAATTTGCAAATTTACAATAAACTCGATACATTTTCTAGAACATTAATAAATTAGTATACGAGACAATAATTTCGTTCTTTTTTTCGTTTTTTTCTTCTTTTTTTTTTCTTTCTTTCTCTTTTTCTTTTATCTTTCATATGATATTTTCAGACATTATCGGTTTATAAAATATCGGAAAAGTAATTATATCTGAATCATATTTAAAGAAAATATAAACAAGTAAACAAAATAGAAAAAAAATTTTTTTAGAAGAGTCACAAACTATTCAAAATTAATTAAATAAAAAACAAATAGAAATCGAATATATGTGCAGTTACGGTAAAATTTTTTATTGACTGATGCAAATTGCTGCATTATGATCCCGTATAACGTTGCTCTTACTTTTACTGTAAAAAAAAGGAAAAAAAAATGAAACATGTTTTTTATTTTTAATAAATACGAGCTATAAGAACGTTTTAGTTTAACATTGATGAAAGATTAACAGTTCATAAATTTCTTAACCGCTACCAAAATTGATAAAGATTTCTGTTATTTTCACATTCCTTATCAACAACTTAAAAAAAGAAAGAAAAAAAACACCGAACAAGAAGCACGTTTTAGGCGAAAATGGGTATCGTCGTTTACAAAAATCGTGAGCTTCGGACGAAAACGTTTATTTTTGTACCAGATTTTAACACGACCCAATAACGCAAGTTGTTTCGTGGTATAATATATTTTTCTCACTTCACAATAAGAGGAAGAAAAAAAAAAAAAAAAAAAACTCAACCATCCCCAACTTCTCTCACCCCTGTTTAGTAATCGGAAGAAGAAAAAAATGTATTTTGATGTTCGCGGCCATAACTCTTAAAAGCTTTTTTGGCGAATATTTTTTGTTGTGTGTGCACAGGCTAGCGTATAATAACGGCTCTTACATTAGCATGATAGTAAAAGTTGGGATTATACGGTATATGAGTGCTAGGATTTTGTCATGGATTCATGAGTTTAGGAGGGTTCTATTGTATGTTTATCTAAACATATAACTACAGATTTATTGAGAGAATATTTAAGTTTGTTCAAGAATTCTATGTAGTGGCGTTCATGTTTATGTAAAACGCATTTGCACACAAGGTTATTCTTAAGAGTATTTTTTTTTTTTTAATGTAGATATATTTGAGTCATTGATTTTGATGGTCAAATGGCAATTATTCGGTAACATAACTCATACATTTTATCAAGCCTAAAATTTTTTAAATCAATGTCTTAAAGTAACTATTAATAAATATTACTGTAAACTGAATCATACTTTTATTTATAAGAATTTTAAATTATGTCATGTTAAGTTTAATCGAATCTGCGTAAGAGAGTTCAATAATTACTAAAAAAATTTTTTAGGCATTTACCTTTTTTTTAATTTATTATTATTGTTGTAACAAATATGTAAATTAACTATATGTAGGGAGAGCAATGGGGGCCCAGGGGATAGGGGGATAGATATTTGATGACAATGTGGTAATCTAAGAGAGGCTAAAATACGCGTACGGGCCGTGATGGCTCAGGGAATAGAGAGCTCGCCTTCCAATGAAGTCACCAGGTTCGAATCCCAACGCTGGCTGGTTGATACGAATTCCACACCCGTCTTGCACCGACCACAGTGCTGACGTAATATATCCTCAGTGGTAGACAAATCATGGGTTAGAGCCCCCTTGCCGTCATGCTAACCATGAGAGATTTTCGTGGTTTTCCATACCATTTGAAGCAAATGCGGGTTAGTTCCATCAAAAAGTCCACCACTTAGGCAAATTTTTCCCAGCACTTGATCCAGGAGTTCCCTTGTCTTCTGGATTGGGTTC